ATAGATAGCCATCAAAGTTTATGAGACGAAGAAATTATCACACGGTTTCAACGGACACTACAATAAAGAAATAAGAGGAAATAAGGCAGAAGGGTTATTCAATGATGAAAATACCATCTGTGTTATTTAAAGAGGTGCTAGAACGAGTTAGAGCCGTGGCTGAATGGAGAAGATATGTTTGAAAAAGAGGAAAACCTCTAAGGTTGGCACGCGGCAAGGGCTCGAGGACTTAGTGGCCGAATCCGAGGAGGAATTTGCGCCACTGCGAGCGGGAACCGGGTTCTTTGGGCAGTTGGACTTGAAATACGTAAGCTCATACACGAGCGCGTTGGGTGCCGATCGCCTAGCATCTTAGTAAATAAATAAACAAACATGCCCTGCCTGGCAACAGCGTAGACTCCACTGCTCTGGACTTACTCCCCGAATCGCCACCAGCAGTTTCATCCGAGTAAAGTGTCATACACCGATACCCTCCGCCTTCTACCTTTCATTTTAAACGTCGCCACTCTTCTTCTGCCTTTTCTGCGCTGAACCGGTTGATTCTCCAATATCACCCTACCACAATGGCAGTGTAGTGTATCCGTCGTATGATTGAAGAGTCTGTTGGTCTTTTATTATAATATAATACTTTTTTCAGATCAAGACTATGCAGGACTTGCAGGCCCACTCCACCGATAGGCCAATGGTACCTATACTTGAAGAATATCCCCACAACTTCCTCCTATAAAATCCCCCTAAAAGGAAGGCAAAGACTTAATACCATGCTTCCAATCAGACCAGAATCAGAACTTGATGAGATCTGTTTTCCTGACTCATTGTTCCGAGATTCATATCAGTTTCATTTATCTAGCATGATGTAACATTATTTTCATAATAACATGCCAAGCCAATACCTGACATAATTTGTGGTTGCCTCAGGGAAAACCTTAGCGTTTTGGGTAATTTTTAGTTAGAAAGTACTTGGCTTACGTGTGTGAAGCGTGATGGATTGGTATTGAGTACTTTTAGGACTATATCTTGACTACAAACTGGCCGACCAGCATCAGCCGATCCAGAACATTGGAAAGCGGCAAAATATTTACTGATAAACAATCAGGCAGCGTCAAAATGAACTTCAGATACACCCTTAAGAATCCACCATAGCCTAACCAGGGCCCAAAGCAGTGTCGCCATTCAGCTAAGGAGCGAGCATATCGGACTCAATTCTTACCTGAGCAGAATAAAAGTACCCGGAGTAGAAAAGCCAAGCTGTCAGTGTGGATATCCGTCGCAAAACGTCAAGCATATGGTGTTGGCGTGTCCGCAGTGGGCAAATGGAAGAGGCGACTTTCCCCGAAAAGCTAAAGACAGGTCATCTGAAGCAATGATGAACAGCCCAGAAGATGTGGCTAAAATCACACAGTGGATACTAAACAAAGGGTGGATAAAACAGTTTCGACTGGCAGGAGAAGTCGAGGTAGCAATGTCGGATAAAGTAAATAGATCTGGAAGGGGAGAGGACGGAATCCACACGGGCTGAACAGTGTACACTGCACTTCCTGAAGGTAACCCAAATATATTGATAGGAATATTAAAAAAAGGATCAGGGAGATTTTAACCAAATTGGTTTCCTCCTTTGTAAATAATGCAGATAGTCACCTGCATGGACCCATAGGGTGCCTGATCGGGTTAATTGAAATCAAATTCAAATCTTGACTACAACATGTTTGGATTATGTCTTATGATGTAGGGAAGGTATCTCTAGATATTTTCAACGCATATCGGGTATTATATGTGTGTAGATAAATAAACTGAGAGAAAGAGGACGTAAGACGGACCGAAAATTACATCTATCTTTTTGCTTCAATTGAAAGCTCCTTTGCGAGATAGTGTCCCAAATACTTCCAGTTTCAATCATTAAACTTTCCGAACCAGCTCAAAATTTTCGACACTTCCTCTACGAACATGGGAGTGAAATATTCTCCCAGATCCAAGTTCAGTCAAATTTCGCAATGCCGAACAAGTTGGCCCACGAGGCAATGATTCAAGACTCTCCCCCATGTCTAAACTTCACCTCTAATAAGATTGATCCGCACCAAAACCTCATCAAGTTTAGAGGTACGACTTAGTGCGTCCTCAAGTCAATGGCCACACCTCTCATCGACTACTCTCAAGCCTCAGCTCGTCATCAAATACACGCCCACGCTGATATTTATACCCGACGGAGGAAACAAAGTGTTGCGCAAAAATCTGGTAGAGAGTTATTCGGAATAGGCGTGAGAGAAATCAGGAAAAGTTTGCAAGATGAAGCACAGGAAGAGTCCAATCTCGACAGGTATATTACTTGAAATTTTGGCCAGGAGTTTTACAAATTGAATAGAATCATACGCGCCAAGACTTCGATTGCGAGAGTGCAGTTGAAACTGTAAAAACAAGCCAACGAGAGAGGTGCAGTTGTCCGCCTCCCGATGGTGCTCTCTCGTATAGTTTGAGTAGCCTGGGCACCAACTCCACTTAGGAAGGACACGCCTCAGACTACATTTCGCGCCGAGAGAATTCAGTGGGTGATGGAGGCATGTCTGGATAACTCAGAGATTTTGAGGCGTTACCCTGCAGGTACACACCCGCAACTGGCTATCGTTTCGTTGGCTTGAGAGGGGAGATAATGATGGGATAATGGCGCCTCTTAGTGTGTACTCGAATGAAGACCCGTGGGGGTATTACTGCTGGAAAGAAGCCGTGAAGGAGGTATAGGAGGGATTACACTATCCGAGGCATAGATACTCTCGGCCTGTAGGCAGACATGTTATGATATGAGACAACAAGGTAGTCGAGGCTAGAGCATCGCATGTGGCTCAAGGCCACAGCATACATCACTAGTGTATTGGTTAGGCGAGCATGTATATAGTTTCATAGATGTACCCACAATAAATGGATACAGGTTTAGTATTATACTTTCTGTCCATATACCTACAGCAAAATATTGTATGAGTCTAGTCACTGTCACTCACTAAATATAACTTAATCCACTCCTCATCACTCCGCAATATGGCTTCCGCATAGCTCATAACCATAATAAGACAGTGCCTATCTGTCCTTACATAGTCATAAACTTTATAGGACAATAAACACATACAACAATGGTGAATGGTAATTATCAACGCCGATCATAACAATCTGTGTTCCTAAGCAACCGCACCTATACCGTAACATTGGTAGCCCCCGTAGCTTGCTAGGCCCTATATTCCATCACTGCCGTATAGGCGCATACAGTACAAACCCAAGAGATTAATCCCGTAAAAAATTATGGCATATGGTGATGAATATAGAGCTGGGTGGCCAGGTCCGATCCGGACTAGCAGGTAATTCTTCGGGCTAAACTTTGGGCTGAATCTTAGGTCTTGTATGTAATTGGACCACTACTAATTTAGGGCTAATGCACGTGCGCTGACTTGTAGTAGGAACTGAAGCTATGCTGGCATATAATTTTGGAAGCATTGTCTGTGTATCATTTATGTTGATTTCTTTGGCTGTTGTCCATTGAGGCCCTGAGTGCTTTTTGTAGGGCAACATGTAATTTGAGGTATTTGAGAACCTCTGATATGGCACTCAAAATGCCGGCGTGCTGTGGAGCTGATATCGGCAATAAAATCACTAAAAGGTTTTTATAAGTGTTGTGGGAGAGTGCTATTATCATTCAATGCGTCATCAATGATGCATACAACATTTTGAAACATGAGTGTGTCTTCATAGCTCCTTATGTCGATAGCAGAAGTAGTTGACAAAAGTGTCTCTGCCTAAGACTTATCCCCATTCCTCTAGGCAGGGGAGTGTAGGGGAAGAAATTGAGGGGGTAACTTGAGCTTGAGGGTCAAATTAAAGTTGTCGTCGATTGGTTGCCAAAAGCGTGGGTTTTGACAGTATACCAAGAAGATTGGTATAAGCCTGCATAGGTTAGGCACCCAGTCACTTAATAGAGTATCATCTAAGGCATGTATTTCCCAATGCTGCAAGATGTTATGTAAAAAATTAAATAAATTGGAGCGACCAAACGGATTACGATGTTGCTGTCCGTACGGCTGAAAATTATGAATCTAGTTTCCGTTTTATGTCTGCTGAAATACAGACGTTTCACACCCACACGGCCATAGAGCCCATCATTCCTTAGCATGGTTCTCTATGGACTGTGGATGAGAGGTCAGCGGGAGGGGCCGGACCTACCTTTAGTTCCATAGCAGAAAATGCGGTTAAATATACTTAATTTTGCTAAACTCTTGTCCTTCATCTGTATTATTTATTGAGTCACTGCAAGACCGAGGGTATCGTTCTCCCAAGTATTTGAACTCTAAAATATAAGGAGAGATAATACTGGCATGAAATAACCATATAGTGCTCTTTAAAGAGCTACGCGCCCTATGGATTGGTGACTATCCGGTTTCATGCAGAAGACAGGTTAAGGTTTTTCAAGGCCGTTTGGTTGTTTTAGGAATCAAATTTACAGTAATACTCTGTTAGGGTTTGGCCGTTGTTTGAGCTTAGGCGGATATCTAAGCCTAACGAGAATTCTTACGATAAGGCTGCACGGGATGGAGACGAAGCTGAACGAAACGGCACTACTAGTCAGGAGGCTGAAGCGTTATTACTACTTAGTGACACTTGGAAATACGTGGCTGGGTAAGAAGTATTGTGCCTAAGGACAAATCAATAACCTGTAGATTCACGAGGAGGATCAACTCTTATAAATACCTGTTGGTAGTAGCTAGAATTATCTTTTCTCCTCATATAGTTTATTAACTCGGTTTCCATCACATATGTCACCACCTGATTTTCTAAATTCTCTGGCAACTGCTTTGCTGAGAAAATACTTGGTGCCATAGCATGAGGGAGTGATAGAAAGTCATGATTGGTCTGAAATCCAGCTTGTGGGTCGAGTAAGGTTCAGTCTTCATTTTACATTAAAATCCTAGGGACCACATAGCGACACCCAACTCCAGCTGTTGATTTTTATTTAACCCTTTATCTCAGCGCCCATTCTTCAAAAACGAAACAACACCGTTACAATATCCTAACAATTCTCCGATTCGTTTCCCTTCCTTTTCCTGCTCTATCCGCCACAGTTTTAATGTCTCGAGGATGATGGGATCATGTGAGAAAGAATCTATATGAAGTCGGAGAAAGACCGACATCCATGCCTGAATAAGCTCATAATCACGTTTATCGCGTAATCTAAGAGTTAGTGCTTTAATGAATGGTATAAATTCCTCTGTTGGATTCAAGGAGCGGATTTCTAGATCGGCTGCCGATGGAGATAAACTCTGAAGATGTCGAATAAATGGTGTATCTAGCCGGTTAGACATGTATCAAATATCAAGAATCTCAGAACTTACAGTCACCAGATTCCCTTACAGCTCTTAATGTAATAGTAAATAGACTTTCAGATGTTAGACGACCAAGTTTCTTAACCCTGCTCTCTTCCGCAATGGTATCGGTTGCCTTTTCGTCTTTGCTAGGCAGTAAAGGTATTGTATTTAAAGACGGAAGGAAAAAAGGTGCCTTTTCTGGGACCTTAGGTGCCTCTGTAGGTTTATTTCGAGCTTTAATCACATCTAGATAAAGAAGATTCTGCCATCGACTCTTAGGTACTAGAGAAAGTGTCTGCATGTCTTTGCTTAATTGTTCAGGTGATAAGCTTGGTACAGATTCCACAATTTCAAGCTCTTGGTCTTCGAAAGCTTCGTCGATCAAATTGTGGCCACCTTCACCAGAAACTGTCGGTCCGTCGAGCTCCGCTATGTTGTCCTCAGAAATATTTTGGGTTGGAGCATGGGTAAACAATGTCTTGTTGTTCCATAAATCTACACCCAATATACCCTCACAGGCTGTAGCGAGGAATTCTCCGGTAGATGAGAATGCGAGGGCCGTGCATTGAAATTTGGTCCGAATAGCGTCGATTAAATGTCCCGTTGGTAGATCCCAGACACGTATTACGCAGTCAGATGATGCGGCAATAATCCAGCGACCATCATTTGAGAAACAAAAGTCATTTACGCGTTCACTATTACCCCACAGCTCTCTAATAAATTTCTTAGTTTCGATATCAACAACCCTTATTGCAAGGTCATCACAAGAAAGAGCAATTAGATCGCTAGGGTTGTGGTATCGCATACCTGAGATTGCTGTGGAGGGGCAGCATTCTAGTTCATGTACGAGCTGACCAGATTGGAAATCCCAGAATTTGACTTTGCCATCAAGGGAGCAACTTATTATACCTCTACCCAAAGAATCCACCACAAGACCAGTTACTGCTTTCTTGTGTTTGCCTAGTCCGGCACGGAATCGTTGCTTTGATCCATTGCCGTTTCCCTGATTGATAATGCTCAACTCAAGTTGGAGTTTTTTTGCCTGAGATTGACTCAATTTTGCTGGGTATCTCTGCCGATGAAGTCCAGATTGGAGATTGAAAGTATCTATAATTCCTAGCTCAGATCCAATAACTGCAAATGTACCACAGGGACTGATCGTCACGCTGGTGACATTACTGCCATCACCTGTTTCGAAGATCCATCGGCCAGCTTTCTTTCTACCCCAAAACCAAGTCCGTGCAAACCTATCGTTTTTATGGGCAGTGACCACGCTTTCCCATCCGGTAGTACTACTAGCAGTAGCATCGCTTGATTGTTTCCCTCGGTTATTTTTTTGCCATATGGCACCGTTTCCAGGACTTGCTCCCATTCCCCCGTCCCGGTTCATTGATGCCGCAATACCGATGATTTCGGGTGCCTTCAAGTCGGACAAGGTTCCTCTTGACTCAGTAATTGTGCTTGAACCTACGAGTCCTAGCTTCTTGGATTTCTTTCGTGTATTTCCCTGGCTTAATTCTATACTTTGGCCGTCGCGTCTCAAGCTCCATCCCCATAAACTTCTGTCAATGCTAGTGCTTAGTAGCCATTTCCCAGCTGATTCTGCACTGTCAAAATCAGACGGTAAAAAGAGGAGCCGAGTGATAGGTGCTGCATGTCCACTCCTAGAGTGTAAAATGCGAGGTATCGGAGAAAATGGCGTTTCATCGAAGACCCAGGTTTTGAGAGAATTATCAAGACCACTAGTTACGAGAACAGATTGACCAGGAAGAAACTCAATCTTACTCACGCCTCCGCCTACTGATGCACAAGATTCTGGAGGTGCGTTATGAGCTCCTCGAAGTATACCCATGACTCTTCCTCCATCGTTTAGGTCCCAGAGTACAATATCACCATGATTTGGCCCTGCAGTGGCCATGACACCTGATTTCTGACCATCATTACCAGCACCTAGCTCATCGGATCTGAAGGATATTGATTTTATAGGGGAGCTACCTCCATCCAATTGTATGATAGCTCTATCAGTTCGTATATCATACATAACCAGGGGTCCTTTATGATAAGCAATAGCAAGTATTGAAAGGGCTGGTGTAGCTTTCAGCGCTGTAATAGCTCCGCATTTTGCTACAAGTGGGAGGATAGTAAATAGTAACTTTCCGGAACTAACGTTCCAGATTTCTACGCAGCCATCACTCCTGCCCGCAAAAATTTTGTTGAGATAGGTTGGCATACTTATTATTCCACCAGTTAGCTCGTTACCACCATTTGGAGCAGCAGTGGAAAATAGCGTTGTATAATGTTCATAATCTGAGGACTTCCAGACTTCAATCCTTGTGGTACAGCAGCCAATAATCCAAGTGCCAAAAATCAGAATTTGCTTAATTGTTTCGTGCATATCAGAAGGAATTTCCAGTTCTGCGACTTTCTTTCCCCGTTTGAAAACCCAGATTCCACACGCACTGTCAGCCTCACCCCATGCTGCGAATATTCTATCTTTCCATGCAGTTGTAGCAGTAATATTTTCAGGTGTTTGTGGTCTTGTGATAAAAATGAGTTGAAGTCCTCGCTTCAAGTCGTAAGTTTGCAAACATTTTCCGACGGATGTGGTTATTTGAAAAGTAGTTTTACCCAGGGGGATTGACGTAAATGGAACCGAAGTTGGCGATACAAGTCCAATAGTCTGGAGAAATTAGCATAATCGGAATTCATGTTTAGAGGATTGTGATACTCGGAAGGGTGTGAAAATCCTCGATCCTTTGAGTGATGGTTTTGATAAGTCCGTACTGTCACTAAGTTTTTGCCTTTTCACAATAGGGCCTTCATAGCTCTTTTGATTGTTTGAGTCAGACATAATTGGATCGTAGAAAGGATAGATATTGCTCAGAGAATCCCAGGCAAGTACTGTAGTCGTTTTTCAGATCCTAAGCCCCAGGCGCGTTTTTTTGATAACCAAAACGTTTTCATTGGACAAAAGCCTTATTACAGGCGAAGTGGGTTCAATGGGTTAGGCAAGTCCCAAATCAGCACCAACATATGGGTCTATATGTCAATCATGGTATCCACCATTCTATAACAGATGCTTCTTTAGTTCGTCAAATTAAAAAAACTGCATGAGCATTCAATTCTCCTATCCAATCAAGAACAACGACTCTGATTATGCCACCAATCAAAAGTAGAAAGACGGGTGTGGCATATAGTCTAACAACTACATCATATGCACACTATTTTTCCAGACCCAATGGATATCTTCACGCTAATCATTTACCTGTGAAAATCTCTCCAGCTGTGACACAGTCTTCTGACATACATGGCCTGAAACGACATGCAAAGATAGACTAGCAGGTGCGATCTTTTGACCACAGATTCCTGCGTTTCAGGATCCGAACCAGACAGACATAAAGTCAATCTTCAACACCATTTCATCTGCTACATCCTGCAGCCCTACAGCAATGATTTTCCTGCATTAATATATTTGCTTGTAAGTTCTCACGAAAAATAATTCTGTGGTTAGTTGATGCAAGCTCTAAACAACTTTTTAGGCTCTAAATACGACAGCAGTTTCACCAGGATTAGTCCAACAGACCTCATTGATCAATTCTAACATTATTTTCAAGATGTCACCCATTATGTTAGTCGAGGATATTGAACAACCTAATCCATATGATACAGATTTAAGATCGAAACCTTCCACACACGATCTCGAAATAAACTATTGTAAACCAGCTTCGTCAATTTATTCTATCAATTCATCGAGAGCTCAAGGCTCGACTACTTCTATCTCAGGATCTGAAAATGCACCCCCTAGGAACACATCTGGCTCTCTAGGTTCACCAAGAGGCGTGTTTGCATTTCCTGAAACTGCAACATCAAATATATCAGTTACAGCAACGTCCTTCAACCAAGGTAGTAGTCAGCAAAGTACACGAACTTCTCACTTCACTTCCCAGGAATTAATACCGAAACCGGCTCAAGATGTAAAGAGAAATACTTCAGTAAGACTAGAATCTGTGCGACAACACGGACCTGGGAGATCAAAGAGACGATTAAGTGGAAGTACTGGTGCTAGCACTCACAGCTCAAGTAATGATAGGGAGTCTCATTCTAAAGCGTTAAATACGGATGATAAAGCAGCCGTCATTGGAAAAATTGGCATCTGTGCATTAGACGTCAAAGCTCGAAGTAAACCCAGTCGCAATATTCTGAATCGGTTAATTTCAAAAGGCGAATTCGAGGTGGTAGTCTTTGGTGACAAGGTGATACTAGATGAAGATATTGAAAACTGGCCGGTTTGTGACTTTCTAATTTCATTTTATTCAGATGGATTTCCTCTTGATAAGGCCATCGCATATGTGAATGCCCGAAAACCATTCTGCGTCAATGATCTTCCTATGCAAAAGATTCTATGGGACCGCCGGATCTGCCTGATGATTTTAGATAAAATCAATGTCCCGACTCCAAAAAGAGTTGAGGTCAATCGTGATGGAGGCCCGAATATCCTTACGCCAGAAATGGCTAAACATCTCAAAGAAACTACAAGCGTTGTTCTAGACGGACCCGAAGATGGAACTGGAGGCCACGCCACTGCTCCACAGAAAGTAGAGCTCATAGATGACGGCGACACTCTAAATGTGGATGGAGTTTTGCTTCGAAAACCGTTTGTTGAAAAACCAATTAATGGCGAGGATCACAACATTTGTATATACTTCCCAAAAAACCAGGGTGGTGGAGCCAGGAAGCTTTTTCGAAAGATTGGCAACAAGAGCTCCGAATGGATTGAAGGACTCACAGTACCACGAGCAATACTTGAGCCTAATAGTAGTTATATTTACGAAAAATTTATGTTAGTAGATAACTCAGAGGATGTGAAGGCATACACTGTCGGCCCTACTTTTTGTCATGCGGAAACACGAAAATCTCCTGTAGTAGATGGATTAGTGCGAAGAAATACTCACGGAAAAGAAATTCGATATATTACTAGCTTGTCAAAAGAAGAATCTACGATGGCGAGTCGTATTGCGGTTAGTTTTGGCCAACGTGTCTGTGGCTTTGATCTCCTACGTGCAGAAGGTAAGAGTTTCGTTATCGACGTTAATGGATGGAGTTTCGTTAAGGAAAACCATGAATATTATGATCAGTGTGCAAGGATCCTTAAGGAAATGTTTATTCGGGAGAAGCAAAGAAGGGTAGGCTGCTTGTCGGATACCGCGCTTCATTCGTCGCAACTAGAGCAATCTAAAATTCTTTCAACTAGAAGAAACACAAGCTCATCATTCAAAGAAAATCATCGATCGGCCCTACACCAACTCCTACATAAATCACCAACGATCTCGTCTACACAATTAAGCAACAAAAAAGCTGCTGCCGTTTCATCTCCAGATATATCTTGCTCATCAACACCTGTAACATCTCCCTCGGATGAACCAGAAAATAATCCAGAACTAGCACCTATTCCAGAAATACCAATGCTTCCGCCTCCTATCACCAGTAACTTTTCTATGTGTACATCACCTACAGTATCGCCTCCACCCGTAAATGGTAACTCCTCAAGTAATGATGTACTTCCACCTGCACCCAAACATACATGGAAGCTGAAGGGAATGGTCTCGGTGATCCGTCATGCTGACCGTACTCCGAAGCAAAAATCCAAATTTACATTTCATACAAAGCCATTCATCGAGCTTCTCAAAGGTCATCAAGAGGAGGTTCTTTTAACTGGGGAGGCAGCACTCGAGAGTGTCATGGTAGCGGTTGAAACAGCACTAAAGGAGGGAATCGAAGATAGCGAAAAACTAAGAAATCTTAGAAATGTCCTGGTCAAGAAGGGTGGCTGGATTGGGACTAAAGTCCAAATAAAGCCAATGTTCAGAATGAAGCCTGATTTCGTCCCAGAAATGCCTGCCCATACAGCCAGGGCAGAAGCACTGCATTCGACAAGCACCGACTCATTGGAACATAAGCTCTCAACTGATATTAACGAGAATTCAGAGTCAGGACCTCTTAAACACAAGGATTCTCTTTCAGGGATAACCCTATCAAGAATTACCGCCGTAGAAAATAGTCTTGTCCTCGATAAGCTTCAACTTATTGTCAAGTGGGGTGGAGAGCCGACTCATTCAGCACGTTATCAATCTCAGGAGCTAGGTGAAAGTATGCGAAATGACCTTATCCTGATGAATCGAGAAGTCTTGGATGAAATCCATGTGTTCAGTAGCTCCGAGCGTCGTGTTAAGACTAGTGCACAAATTTGGGCCGCAGCGTTCACAGATCAGAAAGAAATACCCTCCGATTTCATCACAATCAGGAAGGATCTTTTAGATGACTCAAATGCTGCTAAAGATGAAATGGATAAAGTGAAGAAAAAGTTAAAAACCTTACTTCGCCGTGGAATCTCAGCCCCCCCTCAATTTGCATGGCCACCTAATATGCCAGAGCCTTCTATTGTACAACGGTGCGTTGTTCAATTAATGAAATTTCACCGCAAAGTGATGTATTACAATCTCAAAAGGCTTTGTGATGATGATAAATTATCTCCAACATGTACAACAGTTGTCGATAAAGATAAGCAAAAAGATAAAATAACAGCTTCTTCTACTAGTGTCAACTTAACGACTCAATCTACAACAATGTGTAGCGTACAATCTCGATGGTGTTGTGGTGAAGGTGCAACTTTATTTAAAGAAAGGTGGGAGAAACTCTTTAGTGAATTCTGCGATGGCGACAAAGTAGATCCCAGCAAAATTTCAGAGCTCTATGACACAATGAAATTTGATGCGCTCCATAATCGCCAGTTTTTAGAGTGGGTATTTACACCTAGCAAAAGTTTGTTAGAAGAAGAGGAAAATGCAATATTGGAGGAGTTTCGGAGCATTGGAAAGGAAAAGCAGCAACCCCGAAGTAACGAAGAGATTAATGATGAACACGATCTATCTACAGAAAAGGCAGATATGAGCTGGAGCTTACATCGGCGCATGTTCCGTCGTAAATCCTTCATCTCCTCAGGAAAAGTTTCTGAAGAATCACCAGAGCAATATTTCCGTCTGTTTACAGGAACTAGCCAAAATAAAGCAAAAACTGATGTAAGACTTGAGAAACTACGAGAGTTGTACAAACTTGCCAAGGTGCTGTTTGACTTCATCTGTCCACAAGAATATGGCATGACAGATACAGAGAAACTAGAAATAGGACTACTAACATCACTACCATTACTGAAGGTTTGTGGACACTATTCTTATTTGAATCTAACTCACAATATGATAGGAGATTGTACAAGATCTTGAAGAGATGCAAGCATCGGACGATGCTAAATCCTTCATCTACTTTACAAAAGAATCACACATATATACCCTTTTAAACTGTATCCTAGAAGGTGGCATTACCACTAAAATAAGCCGCTGCGCAATTCCTGAATTGGATTACCTGTCTCAAATTTGCTTCGAACTTTATGAGAGCGAGAATAAAACACCAAAAGGTAATGAAGACGCTGCAAAATACGCCTATAGTATTCGAATCGCTATCAGTCCGGGGTGTCATACATTTGATCCACTTGATGTACGATTAGACAGTAAACATTGTATTAGTTGTGCACCGCGGCAAAGTTTAACTGCACACAAAGACTGGAAAGAAGTTATTGATACTCTAAGGGCAAAGTTTCACCAGTGAGTATTTCATTCATAAGAAGCATTAAGGCTAACTAATTAGGGTCAAACTTCCTAAAAGCTTCCTTGCTGTAAATCTTAGCGAGAGCCATACTTTTCATAAACGCGATACCCATCAAGGTAATCAGGAGTCATCAAAGCATAAAGTTTTTGACTTTGGTAGCGATAGCGAGTCTTCAAATGAGGTAACACAGCTGGCAGAGCCCTCTAACACAGTTCAAAACCATGAAGAGACTTTAAACAAAATTCTTACAAATTGAACACCAATATTAGCCACTCGAAGGTCTGTTAAAGACGAGGCAGTAGATTAAATGCAACAAAATTTTAGTGATCAAGAAGAGTGGGGTTCCGGGTATCTATTAGTCTTGTATTCAGCTTAATTTCTTGGTGCTCTATAAAGATCGTAACAGCTTTTCAGCGTTATCCAATCCTAAATTGCAGTATGATGAGAACGTCAACTCTACACAATTCTAAACATAGCCAACGTAAAATTGAACACATGTAACAAATAGAATAAAGGATAGATTACATAATCACACATGTGACCATTTTAATTTTTAAATACTGACAAGCTCCCGCAAGTTTTTTTTGTACCGCGCACAAGAAGTGAGTGAGTGATTTTTATTGTACTACATAAGTCTATTACTATCTAGCACATTGGAGAGCAAGAATGAGCACCTGAACGCGGTGTCCTCTACGAACCTGGGAGTGAAATATTCTCCCAGAGCCAAGTTCAGTCAGATTTCGCAATATCAAAGAAGTTGGCCCACGAGGCAATGATTCAAATTACTCCTCCACGTCGTGTTTTCGCTCCCAACGAGTTTGATTTCTACCTAAATCTCATCAAGTCTACAATTACGACCTAGTATATCCTCATTCCAATGATCACACCTCTCGTCGACTTTCTCTGGTCTCAGTTGACCACCAAATACACGCCCACGCCGATATTTACACCCTTCGGAGTAAGCAAAACGTGGCGCACAAATCTGGGAGACAGTTCTTTGGTATGGACGTGAGAGGGATCAGGACAAGTTTACAAGATGATGCAATGGATGGATGTAACCTGGAAGGGCGTGAAATATCAAATTTTGGTAAGGAGTTTTACGAATTCAGCTTTGTGCGCGCCAAGAATTCACTTGCGAGAGTGCAGCTGACACTATAAAAACAAGCAAACGATGGAAAGTGCTATGGTCCGCCTCCTGGCGGTGTTCTCTGGTGTGGTTTGAGTAGCCTGGGCACCTACTCCACTTGGGAAGGAGATACCTCAGACCACATATCGCGCGGGGAAAAGGCAATGGATGATAGAGGTATGTCTGGGTAACTCAGGGTTTTTGAGACGTTCCCCTGGGTGGGTATTCACGGATGAGGGTTGACTTGGGGTGAAGAAAAAGCCACATTAACTTCGCAGTGGTACCTGCAAATGAAATCCGAGGCATGAGTGCTCTTCTTGTAAATTGAGTCATCCTTTCTGTACTTTTCTTTGATATTGTGTCATAGCTAGATAGCTGCATACGCAATTAAAACCTGATGCAAAAAAAAATATCTAGCACATTGGGCTCCTTTCTGACCTAGGCCACACCTTGTACAGTGCTCCTAACCTCTCATGTTACTTGAAAGATCAATGATATATTGTACTTGATGAATAGCGATTCGGCTCAGTGTTTACCCTTGGAATCTAGCCACCTTTTCCACGGAACCTCCTACCAAAAAAATAAAAATGGTTGCAATGGAAAGTGCGTGCGCGGGAAAAAGTCTCAAAAAACCTGCAGCCCCAGCTAGGCGAGGCCTAGACTCCGGGACTACATGAAGTGCGCATATTCATCTATGTCTCCCTTCTTTGTAACATTCGAGGTCGACTTGATCCAATCCGCCATCTCCGTATCTGGTGCCGGATACGCTCCGGAAACTCATCGGATGACATTTCCTCTATTATCAAGGGTTGGTGATGAGTAGGGCTCCGACCTTACTATCTGATCGTGGTTAGCTTCATGATAATGGTGATGGGGTTGTGCCTAGGGATGAAGATGATATAGACCGCAAGAGTGATTGGGAATCCTCGTCGAAGTGAGGACTTTGTTACTCAATCTCGGCTCCGCAGACTCTACAGTGAGAGCTGGAGATTCGTAGGGGACACCACTGACAGGTGTTGAGAATAGTCTCCCGGGCACAAGAAGTGGTAACGCGCAACGGACGTCTCTCGATTAGCTTTGGCCTAAATTGTATGCTAAAGTCTGACACAGAGACTGTAACATTTTCTTGCTTATTACCCCATGCGGCTCCTATTTACAGACCCGCGAGAACGGTCTATAATTTTGTTCCAGGAAATTTCTCTCTATTATTTTGTGATTATATAATTGTCCTTTCTCAATCTATGACTATGTAGGTCCTTTCTACAAACGGGCAAATGATACCTATCTAGTTGTATATTTCCTCCTACGCCCCATATACGGCCCCCATCAAACAGTACCACCCCTCACAAATCCTCATTCGATCATAAATTTAGAGAAGCCCTTTGCCCTTCATTATCTTCCCCTTCTAGTCAACGAAACGATGGCCATCATTAGGTGTATGGCAGTCGGGAAAAATCGCCAAAACTACTAGGTGAGGGCTCTTTTCGAACCAACATTAGAACTAAATCCGAAGACAGAGTGACCCTTCTGGATCGTTCTAAGAGGCCGATAAGCTGGACGCTGCAGACTTGTGGGTACCTCGGGAAATCGGCACTATCCCTTTCTAGCCCCCTTTCCGAAGGTCATGCTGAAATGTCAGAAAAGTCTTGATAGAGGGTATTTACTGTTAACTAGTTTATTCGACCTTTTTTGGTGCTGTAAGGGATAATAGGAGTGCCATAAACTCATTGACAGTAGAATTCCTTTGGATAATTACCCCAGTGCACAGGCTTAGCGCCCACAAACACCCCAAAAAATATCAGTCACAGCATAACCATTCACGATCTCAATCATCTCTTGTTCCATGTCCCAGTCGCCTATCTTCCCTCAGATTGCAGAGCATCTTTAGAGCAACAGTCCCCTACATGCCAAAGACCAACTTAATTATCTCCTGAATTATCTTTCTCGTTTTGAGTGTTTGCGGCATCATAGTTTAGCAGTGATAGATTGTTGGCGATTTATGAGGCGAGTTGTCGTTTGGAACTGGGGCAGCTCCTAGACGGGTCGTTGAGTTGGGGAACTCACATGAGGCTGAAATGACGGAAATGAATGAGAAGTGGTCGGCCATGGACCTTCTCTTGCTTGCATTCAACTACTATTCGTTTGCGATTCTTCTCGGCTACCCTCGACGTGCAGAGCATGCTGACCTTTGATGCCAACACTGTTGGGATTTGAAAATTCATCTTTGCCGGCTAGAATAGACTCACTTCTCACCCAATAGTCATCCCCTAACTAATTTCTTCAATCGACCCAGATTATATGAATCTCATCATGCTGCTTTGAGCCCTGCCAAGGTTCCGGTGGGTGTTTGAGGCTGTGTTTCTGTAGGCAATCTTTTTTCGCATGTTCTCTCATCCATCACAGTATTTGCGGCTTTCCTATGTTCAGGGCCTGCAGAAGCTCGATGACCAGATAGTTTCTCGTTCCCCGGACGTGTTCATGCCTTCCTCCACCCGTAAAAGGCGGCCACCCTACCGGCATCTTTTTGTCTCCCTTTTGCATTCTCTTGGTCACAAATTCGGGTGCATTCTACAATGTCTAGCTTTCGATTCTTAGCGTGCCTATTCTCAGTTCCCCTTGTGGACCACTTGACTTTCCTGCATGCGGATAGTATCGCTCTCTGGGCGGGTAGTGCATCTGATAGTCTGATGTGTTGGACCCTCTTTTGTTTGAGGCAGATATCTATGGGGAGAAACGAAGATTCATGTTTTAGAACCCTGCTGCTGGTAGGGTTACATGCACCTATCACTAGCTTCAAGCATTTTCTTGCGATACTTGACAGAGGTTAAAAATCATTAAAAATCAGTCTTTTCGATGCCACACTTTGAGAATTTACGTGAGATCTACACTACAAGTTTTACACTACTTCAAAATCTTCCATCAGAAAATTGCGAAACGTAGAATAAAGATCATCATCTTTCATAAAAAATACACCTCAGGCTTTTTGAAATGAATCTGTCGGAGCATAGCCTGATCTTTGTCATCTCAACCCTTGTTTTTACCTACCTTTTGGTGCTCTAAGAATTCTTTCACATCCGAGAGGTCGGCCACAAGCTTATTCGAAAGCACAGTTACATCAAGTCCACTGAGCAACATACTAAAATTCTCCACCCACTGATCTGGTTGTTTCGAACCATTGAATGCTGCTGCCATTAGTGGTTTTTTGAATTTCTGACCGGCGCGAACTAGTTGGTTCACGGCTTCTGCTACCTTTGGATCTTCCATGTCACCCGTGCGCTGAGAGGGAACCCCCAGTGTGACACGCAAGTCTTTAATTCCCAGCATCAAACAGTCGATACCTGGTACACTAGCAATTGCCTCGACATTTTTGACGGCAATCTAGAATTGACAGAGTAGAGGTTAGGGTCTTTGTCACGTGTTTGGGATGGATGAGTCTCTGATTACTTACTGCGCTTTCTATCTGACAAATCACCGCAACGTGCGCATCAGCTACGAGCTCATGTGACGAGCCAGGGGCGAGATCTGTGATACCAGGCAGGAGGGTGAAGGGTGACAATGAGCGCTCCCCACCTGAATACGCATATCTTGTCACGCGTACGGCTTCTGCTGCTTCTTCCGGCGTGTCTATGTGAGGGAATATGATACCAGCCGCCCCTTACCGATAGATCAGCAGAGAATTGGTAACTTTATGATTCCAGTGAAGCTTACCGGCATCGAGAGAGTATGTGAGTAAGTCAGAACGTGCAGACGGAACGCGTACTACGGCGACAGTTCTTCCCTCACTGCAAAAATTAATGGTTCGTATGAGCTGAACGAGTGTTTCGGGATCGATGGCACTGTCAATAAAGTTAAGATATTTCTACATTTCGGGGACTGCTAGATTTATCGGAAACCAACGCACGTGTGACTAGCATCAACCATGACAAAATCGTATCCAAGAACCGAAACTATGCGCGCCATTTCTGTGTGTGGAATCGATAATGTTACACCGTGTATGTGACTGATACTACAGCCCGAGTCGTCAAGTGTCATCGTCAGGGCTTTGGATAGGTTAGATGGCTGGAATAGAGAATGAGCCCGATATTCCTGCATGATTGCTTCTAAAATGTCTTCTTTATTGATAAATTTTTCGATAAAACGAGATCTTGTAAAGTTGAGCGCTAGAGTTTTTGTTCAGCTACACCCCGGCACAATCGTAAAGGTGCGAATGTAACTAAGTGCTAAGAGTTATATGTTTTTAAAATCCGGAATGTAGAGACTAGCAGGTTCGGTCACACGACTGTCTGAATATTTAGGTGGGAAAAGAGCGGTTTAAATTAATCAAGGTATTGTTAAAATGTACACGATCTTATGTGTCATAGGCTCATAAAATAATAGTCAGAACCGTAGGCAATATAAACATTTAATGAAACCCTAATTAATAACCCTTGTTTCCCGACAGTTGAAAGTTAGAATATCGAAAAACGAAAAGGACGTTGTAGAGTTTTGATTCTGGAAATAAATTGTGAGACAGCTGAATTCCAGGTACAAGCATCCATAGATGCGATTGTAAAAATCTCATTAATTCCTATGTAACAAGATCTAGGTTTGTAGATCTATCACAATCCTGTCCTTGCGCCGCTTCTACGCATCTCTAGACTAGAAAACGCAGTGTTTCTATAAAGATGTTGGAATGAACCTTTTCTTTTTTGCATGGAATGAACCTTATCTCAGCGTGAAGAAGTTACTCTGGTTTTTGCTTCTGTGAATTATATTCCCACACCTTACTGTAATGTCACATCCAACACCAGCACAGCGTCATTTTTCCCTAGCTGCGATAGTTTGCTAGTCTCAATCGATGGAATAGACGGACACGTGTAAGACTGCAAGATTCTTTGTTGTAGTTTCAATCTAAGATCTAATGCATTGCACCGTGGTATTAGACTGAGTGGGGCTTCAACTTATTCACCAGGTCAATGCGGACTGTAACAGCAAAGTTTTGTCTTTGTACTGTTGATTGGCCTATTCACAGCAATACGATTCTCGGGTTGTTGCTGGCCAGCGGTCCATAGAAGCATGAGCCCCCTCTCTAGGATGGATCGGAAAAGTGTTGCAAAACCAACCTAGACACCCCCCGTGCTTGTGGTTTGTTATGCTCAGCTATGTGGTATGGTAGATCTAGTAGCTGGTGCATAGGTAGTTGTTATAGCATAATGGCATTATGGCGCATGTAGGAGATCCAGTCTCTACATAACGAAATTACAAGTAGTAATGTGTGCAGCATGAGAGATGGGTTGTCGATATAGGACCAAGGGCATAGATGCTCAGCTGGGAGCACACTTTGGTGCGCTGCATACTGGTTACGTGGTCGGTCTACAAGCGAACTAGCTAGGGGATAAGGGACGAGCTTCCCCCAACCTGTAACACAATAATTATCATAGTAACTTCACTTTTGCACATTAATGAAAATATCTCTCCACAAACTATTCCAGCTATTCCAGCGCAAGTGTTTATTCCCAAATCATATACCAATCATAATAGGTTTTAGTATTGTCCATCAAGATTGTCGGGGGTCGCCTATCCTCTACTAGTTACATCATTTTTTGTCACATCTGATATTCGAGACTGCGACGAGATTACGCGTACCTGGTATCAGATCTGTAGTTTGTTCTGTTGTATCCCGTAATGAGGCATTATACTCTAGCCCATGTCATTGCCAGACATCAATGTATATAGACAGTCTCGTATCCTTTAGTAAAGATCAAGAGTTTCGATCAAGCCTTTACTATAAACATAATTCACATCTACGGATACCCTTAAAAGTTTATACTTCGTTATTTCTCCGTGATCACTCGAAGAATTCTGCATATTCTTAGTTTATTTTCAACAAAAAGTCATATGGGCACTGGATTGTGTCAGATTGTCGCCTCACAATGAGATATTTATTTGGTTATAATCTGTTATTTGTTGAACACTGGGAGAGAAACCGTACAGGATCTTTTAAGATAGCAATTGAGATCCTCTTGATTTGTATGGGCCTTTTGATCAGGCTAATACTGATTATCTTCTAGGATCAAGGCATTGATAACTTTAATGTGAAGTCTTTGTGTGTCCAGGTCATAAGTATCTGTGGTGAAGACTTATAAGATCTGCAGCTCTCAATTGCTTCAGGGTAGGAGGGAACTTGATGAAAGAAGAGGCTGAAACAGTAGCTGACTTATTGGAGGCCTTGACTTTGCGTGCATGGGGATTTAGATCTCTAAACATGATCATCATGCTCAAATTCATTGATCTGATTGATATTGCATTTCTTTGTTTGCGTCCCTTTTAAATTCAGCCGCACACTGATTGAGTGGTCATTTGATGCCATGTTTGTAGGATTGTGAAATAACTTTAACATTGTAACTTTGTATCCTATGATAGTTTAACTCGTGCGCTTTCTAAATTGTATATGTCATTACATCACATAGAGGGATGAAACTTTGATCCTAGTCTAGCATAGACAAAAGCCATGACCAAAATGTTAGACTCTTTTTTGATGTCTCGTCCGAGTAATCCTTGAGATTTTAAAAAAATTAACCTCCAACGCTTTGATGGGACATAGGCATATACCATTCCTCTTACTCAATGCAAGGACAAGGCCTTCTGAGACTTGATTGTCCGTGCGGAATGAAGTTTATCAATTGCAGTACTTCCATCGGGCCAGCTGAGATGAGGAGATGCTGAGGTGGTCCGGTCATTCAGGTGGGACGAGGTAGATGTACTTAATGGTCGTTAACCTGATCCAGCCCGGCCCCACCCGTGCTGAAGCTCCAGTAGGAGTGCAACGGCAGTCATATAACCTAGCACATTAATGGACAAACCAAACCAAACCATCGGTCCAGCACGGTTCCTTCCATTGTGCACAGGCATATTGGTCCAGTGATATTTTCTAGCTGGCTCAACGGATGCTCTAAGACAGTAAATGCCCTAGTCGCCATGGCCGATATTTTCTTTGAGTATATGGATCCTAAAAAGATCTACAAAGTCATGGGCTGATCAGGTGTTGGATGTCTGGCGAATGGAAAAACTACTAATGCCTTATGATCTCACACATTCAGATCGCACAGTCACAAGAGCAGATCTCACTGGAGCTGAGGGGTAATAGAGGATTGATGTATATAGGCGCATAGATATCCTACATTCAAGAGGATGCATAATTCACGCATTAGCCTCAAGCTCTACACAAGATCCGTTGTAGGAGGGCAAGACTGAACACCTGTACGCGGTGTCCTCTACGAACCTGGGAGTGAAATATTCTCCCAGAGCCAAGTTCAGTCAAATTTCGCAATATCAAAGAAGTTGGCCCACGAGGCAAAGATCCAAATTACTCATCCACGTCGTTTTTTCGCTCCCAACGAGTTTGACTCCTATCTTCGTCTCATCGAGTCTACAAGTACGACCAAGTACATCCTCATTCCAATTACCACACCACTCTTCGACCTTCTCTGGCCTCAGCTGGTCACCAAATATACGCCCACGCCGATATTTATACCCGACGGAGGAAGCAAAGCGTGGCGCACAAATCTGGGAGACAGTTCTTTGGAATGGACGTGAGAGGGATTAGGACAAGTTGACAAGATGATACTGAGGAAGGATATAACTTCGAAGGGCATGAGATTCCGAATTTTGGCAAAGAGTTTTTCGAATTGGGCTTTGTGCGCGCCAAGACTTCGCTTGCGAGAGTGCAGCTGACACTATAAAAACAAGCAAACGATGGAAGGTGTTGTGGTCCGCCTCCTGGCGGTGTTCTCCGGTATAGTCTGAGTAGCCTGGGCACCTACTCCATTTGGGAAGGAGATATCTCAGACCATATTTCGCGCGGAGAAAAGTTGAAAGATGATGGAGGCATGTCTGGATAACTCAGGGTTTTTGAGATGTTCCCTTGGGTGGGTATTCACGGATGAGGGTTGACTTGGGGTGAAGAAAAAGCCACCATAACTTCGCAGTGGTACTTGCAAATGAAATCTGAGGCATGAGTGCTCTACTTTTAAATTGAATCATCTATTCTATACTTTTCTTTGATATTGTGTCATAGCTAGATAGCTGCATACACAATTAAAATCTGATGCAAAAAAAAAAAAAAAAAAAGATCCGTTGTAGTTATGGGCCACGAGACACCATGTGATAAACTTGTATTCATACACCCACCAAACTATTTACTAAGTACACATCGCGCGCGCTGAGAAACCTCAGGCATGCTGACAGGAAGGTGCAGAAGTGGAAATTTCTGAATCGGCTGCACAACAAGTTTAAGACATGAGTGATCACAATTTTATGCGCGCCGTCTAGAATTGGTAACGGGGGCTAGTTCACTCGCCATTCATATTGTCCGCACGCGATTTGCTCTACATCGGGTGTAATGATCAATATAACTTTTTTGGTGCTAGGCTATGGATACTGTCAAGCCCTTGAACCCATTCGGATACTACAAATTAGGTGCCCTTCCTCCACCAACTTCTTAATTACATCTTTGTTGAGGGTTAATTGGGAATTTCGAGTTGGTGGCTATCTAGCACATTTGATTCTTCTCTGACCCAGGCCACACTGTGCACAATGCTTATGACCTCTTTTGTTACTTGTAAGATCATTGATATATTTCTCATGACGGATAGCCATTCAGCACACTGTATACCCGTGGTATTCAGCTACCTTTTCTACAAAACATTTTACCCAAAAATTATCAACAAAGATGGCCACGGAAACTGCGTGCGCGGGAACGAGTCGCAAAAAACCTGCAGCCCTTGCTAGGCAAGGCCTAGACACCAGGGCCACATGAGGTGTGCATATCGGTCTCTACATCTCTTCTTTGCAGCTTTGGAGGCCAACTTAACTCAATCTACCATCACCGTATCGGGAACTAATTCTCTCCGTAAGCTCATCGGATGGCTTTTCCTCCGTGAGCAAGGATGGGTGACGAGAAGGGGTTCGGCTCTACAATCTGATCTGATGATAGTTCTAGGGGTTTGTGCAGAGAGATGAAGACGATATGGATGGCTAAAGCCTTAGGAAATCCCCATAGAAGTGAGGACGGTGTTACTCAATCTCGGCTCTATAGACTCTATAGTTCGAGC